ATCGATTTGTTTCGATCGATTTATCGATGTTATCTTATATCGACACAATTATCGTTATATATTTGTCTACATATTTAAGCACATTTTTATCAGTCCCGTTTGTTATCGACTTTTACCATGATACTTATCGGTACTGTTATCGATAACAAAAACTAATCCGATAAAAAATACATAAACTGATTCTCATACAGTTATGTAACATAATAATAAACCACATCGTGTTTGTTAAAAACAATTTACATAATTTGGCGTTAGTCGGTATTTCATGTACTTTAAGCAATTGTATGTATGTATTTTTGTTTAGAAATATTTTTGTTTGAACACTCTTTCCTTCAAAGATGCTTTTCAATAATTAAGAAAAACTAAACACATATCTAAAATTATTTGCTGCGTCAGACGGCATTCTATCGTGGGACCTTCTGGAAGCTTAAAAATAATAGCGGACATCTCTGCGCACTTAGCGGCAGCCAGCAATGTTCTGCTCGAATCAAACTTCTTACACTGGGGAAAGAGCTTGGTTAGTTAGTTTAGTTTAAAGAGTTTGTTTTTGTATTTTATTTAAAGACGACTTTCTTTTAAAGAATAATTTTTCTGTTAAAAAATTTCAAACCGCTAACATGGACAAATCGAAAAAACTCTGTTACTCTGTGTTGAAAAAACTGTTACTTTTTCCTCGGTGTTCGAAAGTTCAAGGCGAGTTCTGAGTAGTTCTGAATGTCAAAATGATGTACTTGTTGTACATTTGTTGTAATCTCTACTGTCATTGTATAATTTGTAATTTTTGTATTCTCCTGCTATCACCTTTTATGAATGTGGCCAGCCAAATGACGAAAAATTGCGCAACTCATAAAAGTTTTCTAAAAAAATTCCTGTTAATAAAATATACATATATGTATGAGCCTAAAAATATTTTTCCAGGTCACTGTTTTGCTTTCTCCTTATTACACCCACTTGGTAACCAGTTCGTCCGCAGGCGCATGCAGCTGATGCCTGCATATCCCGCTTTATCTGCAAATTTGTACGTACGTACATAGTCTACATGTGTGCGTAAGACACTTTTCCCATCGCTTATTTTTAATCACTTTTCACTTGCATTGCGCTCATCATACCACGAAAAGAAGAAAAGCGCTCAAACGAGGTGAAAGCATTAAGCGTCGACCTCTCAACATACATACATCCTGTCTGTCTGCCTGTCTGTATGGATGTCTACAAACAATACTCCCACTCACTTCTCGTTAACTATGCGCGCCACCCGTGGCTAAATGCGACAGACTGAGTGCATGTGTTGTGCCGGATAATTAATTGCCATTTTCTTGGCAATAAAGCCAAGCCGTTGTTTAACTTTTTTCCATGTTTTTTTTTTTTAATTTTTTTTTATGCTCACACATGATTGTTTGAAACTTTTTTGCATCATTACTTTTTTTATATTGTTCATCTGTTTGTCGGTGTTAATGCTCGGCTCAAACGCAATTTGTTGATGTTTATAATTTTCAACTTTGGTGAGGTTGTTGTTTGTTTTTATTGTTGTAAGGCGCTCGTTTGTTTTTCAAAGCTTTAATTTTTTGCTCTTTGCTTATTTTGACTTTTCATGGTAATTTATTTTTCGTACTACATAAGTTGTGCTTTGTTTTGGTTTTTTTCACGCATTCAACAGCCGTCTGCTGCTTACTTATTTTTCCTTATATTTAGAGAATTTTTTTCGTTCCGATTTCTGGCTTAACAGTTAATTAAGAATGTAAGGACTCGCACTGCTGTTGATTATTATTATTTTTCATGACTCGGTTTTTTTTGTTATTATTATGGTGCAATTAACTGTTTGATAATTTCATCGGCTAATTTGGTTGCCCATACATTTCTCGGTTAGATTAGGCTTATCTAATGCCACTTAATGTCGAAAGTGTTTCATACAATATTTCTTCTTATTTCTGATCTCATATTTATCGTTAGTTCTTGGACTATTTAATTTCTTTTTGGTAAACCCTCTTACTTGTGAGAAAATACATTGTTTCCTTTTCCACTCTGGGCTCATTCAAATTTTACTCTCGAATTACTTAGTGGTTCAGTTGCTGTTATCCTCCCGGTAACGAAACTTTTATGTGTCAGAGTCCACTTCCTTCGAGTTTAAGACCAGCATAAGCATAAAACTCCTTGTAGTTTTGTGACTGCTGAAAAAATCCATAAGTCGTTCATACCATACAATCAACTTATTTGTCAGCTGAAAGTCTAAATCGTCGGGAACATATTGACCAATGGATTTAAATGAAAAGAAAGTTGAAATAATTAATTGTTATTGTAAGAAACCAAAAATTATTATCAAAATAAATACACATAGAACTTGCAGTCTTCTTCGGCATGAGCTCGAAAGTTTGTGAGACCTCTTGTCTACAGTTAAAGGCCAGCTGTCGTGATGATAAATCTAGGCGAATTTTGGGATTTTGTGCTCGCCGCGATTTTACGATTTTTACTCACTCAAGATCTGGGACGGATTTATTGTTCCGAATTTTCAACTGTGTTTTTCCCTAACGTACTAGGTTTAAGCTTTTTATCGCCCGAAGAAATATGACGCGTGGAAAGTCTAAACGCCACATGTTAGATTAATCTAACATAAAAAGTACAGTATCTGGGAAAAGTTCTTTGGTATTTATAAAGGATAGATAGACTATAGGGGCTTGGGAACGCTGCTATTAGACGACGGACTAGAATATTGTCCCAAGTACATGTCGGACCGTTCTACTAAAACCGTTAACAAATGTACCTCGCGATACCTTTCCTAGACATCGAAGCTGCATTGGATAACAACCGCGTCCTGGACAAATTCCATGATTATCATTAGGAAGCTAAAAGTACTAGCCTGTGGTAATAGCAGCTTTGTAGTGGAACAACAAGCGTTTGCCCATGAGGAAGAGCACCATCCCCATAACTATGGAATACATGTATTTAGTTGAGCACGAACTACCTCTGATGCGCTGAAATTTAATTGAAGGGAATGTATGAAGTAGAGATGGGCGCGGGATATCAGGACCCACAGGACCCACGGTACTGATTTTAAATTTGCCGGGATGGGCGGTATCGGGACGGTATGTAAAAATTTTGCGGGCGGGACGGGATTAAAATGTTTTTTTCTACACTCCCGACAGAAACGCAACCTCCGCAAATTCAGAAAAATCTTCCTTAAAAACGAATGTATGAAATATGCACTTTTTTATGTTTTGCTGAGATGAAAACGGAGAGTCGAGTAAAACAAAATAATCGGAAGATGTCAGATCTTTATATTTTTTATAATTTAAAAGTTATCTGAAACACATGTAAATGTTTCTTAGTGATAGATTTCGGGACCCACGAGATCCGAGGTATAATTCTGAAAAACGTCGAGATGGGCGGGATCGGTATTAAATATTTAGTCCCGTGCCCATCTCTAATATGAAAACACCCCTTCGATAAAATTCCATCCTGTCCTATATTAAAACAGAAATGTCAGATGGAGACCGCAAATTTCCACTGTTATAACATATGTATTTGTGTCGCCGAATTTCTTATCATCACTGTCTTAACATCAACTGTCATTTCGTAGTTTGACAACTCAATTTTCATTTTACCCCTCTATTTACATTGGGTACAGATCGATCGCATTGGCTTGATGGCAATGAAATATTGGATAGTAAGTTGTCCACATGAGACAATTGGATAAGGTAAAAACAGAACTTTGACGGATGTAAAAACAGATTTATAGAAGGTATAAATGTGAAGTTATGTTTCAAAAAGAGGATACATTCCTGCGTGGAATAGGATCTTCGAGATAGGTCGATGTTCCACTAAGCCGTCGATATACGCAATCTAAAGCGCTTTGAGGACATTGAGGACTGAGCCACCGCCTGATTAAATAAGGAATTTACTCGCATGAGCGATTCTGCAAGACAGGTAACTTAACTACAAGGAACATTTTGGAACGGTGTGCAGTACTGATGCAACTCACGATTGAGAGAATACAAAGGTTGCGCCGATTTTGGACCGCTATTCCTCTCTTAACGAATTTGACAGAATCGTTGTTTGCATGACGTCACACTTGTGCAACTTGTTTACGTTTTCTATCATTCTTGGATGCAACTGAAGGATCATTTTATAAAAGAGGGCGTTGTGAGGTCAGAGTTTATTGAAATAAAAATAAAACCATTGTTTGACAGCGGAACAGGGAGCTTCATGCATAAAACGTGAGCTTTAGTAAAAAAAAGGTTATTTGTTTTTCATATCAATCAATGGCTATGCCAGTTTCATATCTCATCAGGTTTGCAAGTTATAGAGCCTTTTATTTATGTGTAACTTTAGACATCTTGAGGCACGTCTTTCCCGTATCCGATTTTTTTAAGTTTTCGCGGAGGACATTTTTATGAGCAAATGAACCTATCGAGGGGGAGTCTTACATTGTGGGTCAAAGTAGAAAAATTAGACACACCCTAATGTATGTACATACATATATACATACTTCACTTCAAAATATATACATATAATTACCGTAAAAAGGGAAAGCGTGACATTCACAACAGAGCGTCCGCCCTGCGCTTTTTAACAAAGTTCCACCTCAAGTTTTTCGAGACACCTACACCCCCCTACACCCTTCCTCGAATATCACATGTATTTCATCAAAATTCTGCAATCTCATCACACCCCAGAGACCAGTTAGCATGGCAAATGCTTTGTTGAGCCTGTAGTGATACACATTACTTGTTAAACACTTGTTCTTAAAATACTTTGAATTATGAAAATATCTTGTTACATTTATTTATGTACGATCAATTTTGAGTTGCAAATTTTTATATTCATTCATTCAGTTTTCAATATTCAAGCAAGCAACATATTTAAAAAATGGCTCATAAAATCGAAAGCGAATTTTATTTTAAATTAATATATGCTGTTCGCGATCGCCCGTGTTTATATGCGAAAACACACCTACATTATTACGACAGAGTTAAACGTAATGAAGCCTGTTAAGAAGTGGGCGCAGCTACGGGCAGGCCAGTAATTTGTTCCCGCAGGAAGTGACTGCAAAGCGCGCTGGAAGTTGTTACGAGAAAGATTCTGTAAGCAAATGAAGAGAGCTGATGGTTATTTTTCGTCTGACACAGACCCGTTTAATGCGCATGAATGGGAATACTACAATGAAATGCTATTTTTAAAGGAATCTATTGTACCGCGACGTTCAAGACTTGGTAAGTGCGTACGCTCCAGCTCAGAAGAGCCTGCAATGAATGAAGTATTTATAAACGTAAATGCCATAGCCGAAGAGGACTCCTGCTCGTCACATTCAAGTTATTCAAATTCTTGTGAAACTCCGAATAAAACGTCAAAGTTCGATTTAGCGCCATTGATAATTGAACGTGAAACGGACGCAGATTTAGGCGATCACGATAAACCAGAAAAACTG